CCACAGGTGAAACCCCGTCTCTACTAAAAATACAAAAAATTAGCCGGGCGTGATGGCAGGCGCCTGTAGTCCCAGCTACTCGAGAGGCTGAGACAGGAGAATGGCATGAGCCCGGGAGGCAGAGATCACACCATTGCACTCCAGCCTGGGTGACAGAGTGAGACTCCGTCTCAAAAAAAAAAAAAAGAAGAAGAAGAATGTGTCCCTAATGGGGCTGACTTGAGGTCAATGATGTATATTCAGTGCCTGACGCAGTAGATGTTCAATAAACAAGAAACGTGATGGCCACTGCTAAGAAATTGACTTTATCAAAGAGCCGGGGACACATCCATAAAGAAATCCATGTTCCGCTTGCTCTGTGCCTTTCTAGACCTTCCCCGTAATCAAGTAACTTGCACCTAACTGGGGAGAGAAAGGACGTATGTGTGACGGCAAAGCTGAAGGGCCGCCGATGAGTGGCAGTGGTCTGATTTCGACATGAGGATTGTTTTCTGACCAGTTGTCTTGCATGATCCACTAACGATAAGTTTTACTAAGGGACACGTCTGCTTTTCATTTCAAGGGCCACACAAGCAAGCCCCAGTTTAATTTCTGAAGAATGAGATGTTTTATGGACAGAAGACAGCTAGAGTTAAAGGCTTTGGGAGGTAGGAGACTTCCATTGTTTGGACGGAGTTCAATAAAGACAGAATCACATGTCCTTGAGGAGAACTGCAGGGAGAAGCCCACAAGGACCTCGTCTTTGGAGGGACTGGTGCGAAGGTGGGAGGTTGAGCTGTGAGCCAGGTGGAATGAAGGGGCCTAAAGGAGAGACAGGACAGAAGGGAGAACACTAGAAAAGGCCTCTCCGGGTAGATAAATGCACATCCGTGGCTGGGATTCCCCAAGAGCAAATATTACTCTCAAAGGATCCAATCCCATGCTTCAAAACAGGGGTCCAGCTCTGACCTCTGGAGGCAAACGCTTGCCTGTTACAAGGCCATTCCATTGTTCATTCATTCATAAACATCCTTTCCTTTCCATGCCTCTGGTCCATGGTGGCCCCACACCAGTGTCTGGGGACACTGGAACCTCTAAGATATGGCCTCGGCCCATGGGGGTGTCACAGTCTAGTGGGAAGGCAGACCACGGGCTCCACATTGGACGCTCACCCTCTGGGAGTGTGGAGACAATCTGAGCCTGGCAGGCGGTTCTTGCTCTGTCTGGGCTTTGCCGAAGGGCGTGACTGCACGTGCACTGGGGGAAGTCGGCACCACTGTGCTGATCCCTGTGTTCCTCCATGAACCTGATTCACGGAGCCAAAAATTACCATAATTGATTATCCCGCTGAGCGGCTGAGAGCAGTGTTTGCTAACAGTGAGGCTGAGAATCAGCTCTGCGTTTCATGACCCTGGGAGCATGCCCGTGGGATGTCATCCGAAAGGCCCGTGGAGTGGGAATGAACCCGGGGTCCTCTCTCCTTCCGCCACCCCCAGGATTGGGTAGGTGGGGCAGGGACCAGAGACACAGAAAATGCTGGGAATACAGAAGAGGACGGGGAGCCGGCATTCATCTCAGAAACACAAAGCCAGGCGCCATCCCAGGGACGGGCAGCCAGGCCACCGCAGGAGTGGGCGCTCCGCACGGAGACCACCTTCCTTTCCATGCGCAAGGGCCTCCCGGGAGGTGCAGGGAATTTCATGACGCTGGAGGTTCTGTGAAAGGACGGAGGACGAAGCTGGGCCCGGGGAGCTCCTGGCCCGAAGAGCCAGGAAAACAGGTTGGACCCTGTGGTTGAGGCATCAGGCTCAACCGGCTCTTTGACCATCCCTCTAGTACTGGAGCTTTCAAAAATGAGGACTCTTTGGTGATTGAAATGGGGCCCAGCCTCCGGGCCTCCAGATGCCACTGCAGCCCCTGGGTTCACACAGTGCAGGTAGGACGTATTTCACCTTGACCAAATAAAAACGCTCGTAAGTGTGTGACACATTTAAGAGAACTCGAGGGATGCCAGCAATCTCTCAGGAGAGAAGGGTTGGCAGAGGCAGGGAAGCTGGGGTGGATGGGGTGGGGTGAACAGCGTGCTCTGCCAGCTCCCATCTGGGCTGATGTGGCCCAAAGACTGGGAATTCTAGAGCCAAAAGGTGTTATTGTGCTGGGAGAAAATCTAAGGACTTGGGCACAGAGCCTGGGCCAGTAGAGGAGAAAGGACAGGGGACACGGAGGTGTTCGGGGAGAGAGGTGAAGCCCTGAATCCTTGACTTAGTCCTGCTTCACCTTCTCAGCCCACGGGCCCGTGCCTGCCTCCAGCAGAGCCACAGACATACTCTTCCAAGGCTCCAGACCTGGCTCCAGATCCAAATGCCTGGCTGTGTGTTTGTTCAGACCTGGCTCCAGATCCAAATGTCTGACTGTGTGTTTGTTCAGTGGGGCTGGACTCAATGGAACCAAATTGTATTGAATTGGAAGAAGAACTCACTTCAAGAAAAGAAATCACCAATAAGAAAATCCAGCTGGGTGCGGTGGCTCACACCGTAATCCCAGCACTCTGGGAGGGCAAGGCAGGTGGATTGCCTGAGGTCAAGTATTCAAGACCAGCCTGACCAACATGGTAAAACCCCATCTCTACTAAAAATACAAAAAATAGCCAGGCATGGTGGCGCATGCCTGTAATCCCAGCTGCTTCGGAGGCTGAGGCAGGAGAATCGCTTGAACCACAGAGGCGGAGGTTGCAATGAGCTGAGATCGCACCATTGCACTCCAGCCCGGGCGACAAAGCGAGACTCCGTCTCAAAAAAAGAAAAAATCCCCCAAATTAACGAAGGCAGCCCCTGATGCAAGCCGCTCAGATGACGCATTTCCTTTCGAAGTGACTCTCACTGGCAGTGCCTTCCAATCACACCTGCCCTTCTCAGCGTCACTTTGTGAGCTGTGTGTGGAAACGGCTCCACGGGCCAGAAGTTACCTTTGCCATTTTACTGGGGAGTCTCGAGAACAGGGACTCCACGGAGCTACCTTGGAAATGGCCTGCCCAGTGCCCAGTTCAAGTTCAGCTGCTCCGTGGCCCATAGCCCTCCCTGATGCGGCTGGGAGGGGCCCGCCTATGACGTACCCAATACTGCCATTGTGATCTGCATAAACCCAGCAGGGAAGCCAGGCCCTATGCAGTTCAGTGTTCTGTGGCCACATTTGTTCTCGCCTCCCACAGGGTGGGGTACTCCTTTCCATCTGCGGGTGAGACAGGCAGCTCGGGTAACCTGCTCTGGGGGACAGGCCGGCTGACCCAGTTACTGTGGTCACAGTCGCTTCACCGGCTGGGGCCTTGGTTTCTTTATCTGAAGAATGGGAAGAGTGAGAAGTGTGCCTGCCTGCTAGAGCTGTTGGGAGGGCTGAATGAAGCAACGTACAGGAAGCGCCTGGCTCATAAACCGTGCAAACGAAACGACCGCAGTTACCGTTTTACAGTGATGTGGATGAGGACAGTGGTGGTGATTTTTCTAGATCTGAAGAAAGAGGCCCAGTCTGACGGTCTTTCAATTCCAGAAGCTTTTCACTTGCTTTTAGTTTTTACACTAAGTTTTAAAAAAATATGCACGCGCACACACACACATATGCACGGGAGGCCAGGGGCAGGCAGTGGCATCTTAACAGGTATGGATATTCTTTTTGGAGTGACGAAAAGGTTCAGGCATCAGAGGGCAGTGGTGATTGACAGCAGTGTGAATGTACTCAATACCACTGAATTGTACATTCGAAAATGGTTAAAATTGCAAATTTTATGTTATGTGCATTTTACAATTTAAAAATGCGCAAGTCATGTACACAGAAAATTATGAAACATTACTAAAATAAAGGAAGAAAATCTAAGTTTGTTTAAAGCACACTGTACACACACCCCTTTGTTTCTAAACTCCTCAATGACCTACTAAGTAAGAAAAGGAAGGTGTCCAGGCACGCGTGTGAAGTCTCAGGCCCCGGGGAGCTAGCTTTGTGACTTACGCAGGAGCGGATAGCCTGGCTCCGGGCCCTGGATCATAAAGTGAGTGAGTGGTGGTCCTTGCCAGTCTGTCCGTATCACTGAGCCGTTCCTGCTGCTGGTAGGTGCACCTGACTCACAGTAACACACAACGATTGCCTCTATAATTATGTGTTTGATGGGATTTAGAATTTGCTAAATGACTTTTCTTTAATAACATAAAATGAACATGCAGGCCTAGGCGGGTGGATTGCCTGAGCTCAGGAGGTCAAGGCCACCCTGGGTAACATGGTGAGACCCCATCTCTACTAAAAATACAAAAAATTAGCTGGGCTTGGTGGCACACATCTGTACTCCCAGCTAGTCGGGCGGCTGAGGCACAAGAATCGCTCGAACCTGGGAGGCAGAGGTTGCAGTGAGCCAAGATCGCGCCATTGCACTCCAGACTGGGCGACAGAGCGAGACTCCGTCTCCAGAAACAAATTAAATAAATAAATAAAATGAATGTGCATGCCATGACTGCACTCAAAGTGACAGTGACCCCCGCCCTACACCTGGAGGAGGAAGCAAATCCCCGCAGCAAATCCCTGCAGCGTGGCAGAGGAAACCCGGTGTGAAACTAAATGTCACCATCAACAAGCCACAAGGCCTGCATTCGTGGACAACCTCGAACCAGGTGGTAGGGTGCTAGGAGAAGAGGAAAGGGATTGCTTGGAGTTTGAGGCAAAGGAAAGAAAGAGAGGGGGAAAGAAAGGAACATCCAGAGTAACAGAGAAAATGAGTCTGAAACCTCTGGGTGGCCGGTCCACCGTGCCCTATTTTGCTTTATCTCTGCCTGTTATCTAAACGCTGCCTCCCAGCCATGCTTGAGATGCAGATGGCAGCCAGAGGTTAACCCGAGCAGGTTTCCTTGGACTCCCAGGGAGATGATGCTTCCACCTCCAGACTTCCCTAGTCGATGAGCAAATAGCATCGCCAGCAACCAGATACATGATGACAACATTGATTGTGATTCTCTCTCCTTTCTCTCTTTTTCTTTTCTTAGAGAGCCCAGAGTGCCTCGGGGAAAATTGGCTGAATAAAAGGTATAAAGACTTCTCTATTTTTCCTGAATAGTTTTTGACAGATATGAGCATGTTGAACATCTTGGGAGCTGCTGATAATGAAAGCCCAGAGTTTCTGGGGTTTCCCAGCCACTGGAGGGAGGAAGAGTTTGGGGACTGAGGAGGGAAAGCTTGGCGCCGTTAAGCACCTCTGTGTCGTCTTCTCTCTTGTCCCCCGTGGGCAAGCCCAAAATGTGCTGGGGAAAGCAGGACTGGGGACCAGAGGGGCTAAAGAGGAAATGGATAAATGGGGTGAGGATGGAGGACGATTGTTTTTAGGCAATTCTGGCTGGCCTGAGAAGCAGTGTCGCTGCCTTCCTGATCCTCTCCCTCCCCCAACCCCAAGGTCCCCCACCCCAGCTGCTCCATGCATGGCCACCCATCCCTCAGGCAGTCCCAGCTCACTGGTCCAGGGTGGTCCGACTCACCTCCATGGCCTGGTCTCCTTGGGGAAAGGGGCTTCAGATATCGGCTCAGTTCCCAGTGTTGACCCTTGCTGGGGGACTGGCTGCTACAGCCTGAGTCCTTTGGTTCATTGCTCCGTACCTCCAACCCCATTACCCACCTGTGGCTGACCCCCTCCACGGATTCACTTGCAGAGTTTACTTTAGGGAGATTATTATACAAGTATGATGCTTCTGGACTTTCGATGGGGTTAAGTCCTGATAAACCCATCATAAGGTGAAAATATTGTAAGTCAAAAATGCATTTAATGGACCAGCCGTGGTGGCTCATGCTTGTAATCCCAGTACTTTGGGAGGCCAAGGTGGGCAGATCACCTGAGGTCAGGAGTTCAAGACCAGCCTGGCCAACATGGCAAAACCCCATCTCTACAAAAAATACAAAAATTAGCCAGGCATGGTGGCGGGCATCTGTAGTCCCAGCTACTGGTAGGCTGAGGCGGGAGAATCGCTAGAACCCGGGAGGCGGAGGTTGCATGAGCTAAGATCACACCATTGCACTCCAGCCTGGTCAACAGAGCAAGACTCCGTCTCAGGAAAAAAAAAAAGAAAGCATTTAATAGTCCTAAAAAAACCAACGAACATAAAGTCGGAAAAATTCTAAGTCAATTGTAAGTCAAACCTTCGTCAGTTGGAGATCATCTGTTACGTATGAGATCATCTGTAACGTATATTTATTGAGAACAAAATTAGAAAATGCAGACTTGCCAGGAATTTGCAGCCCTCGGCCCTCAGAGGGCCTCTCTTCTGCCAGGTCCTGGGTCTTGGGTGGTGTGGTGTGTGTACAAGGTGTGTGTACAAGGTGTGTGTACAGCGTTTTTCAAAAACCAGGACCAGAAAGTAGATCCATCGGGGTTAAAGGAGTACGAAGTCTTCCTCAGCTAAAACTGGAAAAGTCTGGCACTCTTTTTTGTACTGCGTTTGCCCTAAGCCCACCCTTGGCTCAGAAGTAGGCACTGACCAAATGGCCTGGAGCTAGACCTGACATTAGAGCTAGACCTGAGCCGGGGGCTTCCGTCCTAGAAGCCGGTCACCGCGGAGCCACTCAGGGCTGCGGGCAGAGGCAGCTCGGGCTCTGCTCCCGGCTTTCCGGCTTTCCAGCCGGAAGAGGACAAAGAGACAGAGCCCAGGGGGTCCCCTTCAAAGGGCCTCGGGCTTCCCACAGTGGGCCGTGTGTAACAGGGTTCCCCCTACCGAGTGGGCGCCCCTGTCTGTCAAGGTTAGATGCAGTTTTCCGTGGGAGGAGAGAGGAATGCCGCCGGGTGCTGGTCTCACAGGCGCCCCCAAGTGTTCGCCACGAGTAGGGCAGCAGCCTTCACACAGCCGCCTCCTGAGATGCCACCGCTGTAAACTGAATCTATTTTACAGGGAAGCATCGGAAGGAGCCTCCTGGTGAGTCGTTTGTAGCATAAAGAATCCATTTGTGGGGCCGGGCGCGGTGGCTCACGCCTGTAATCCCAACACTTTGGGAGGCCAAGGCGGGCATATCCCCTGAGGTCAGGAATTCAAGACCAGCCTGGCCGATGTAGTGGAACTCCATCTCTGCTAAAAATACAAACTTTAGCCGGGCATGGTGACAGGCACCTATAATCCCACCTACTCGGGAGGCTGAGGCAGGAGAATCGCTTGAACCCGAGGGGCAGAGGTTGCAATGAGCCAAGATTGCGCCACTGCACTCCAGCCTGGCCAACAGAGCGAGACTCCGTCTAAAAAAAAAAAAAAAAATTCCATTTGTACTCTTAAGTATTGATGCAGTCATTTACCTGGCCCTGTAAACTTGGATGTTTTTTAAATAGCTTTATTGAAGTACAATGGGCGCATGATAAACTTCACATAGAGTATGCAATATGATAAGCTTTGATATATATGTATACCCATGACACCATCACCACCATCAAGATAATGGTTGTGTTCATCACCCACAACCATTACATTGTGCCCCTTTGTAATGTCTTCTTCACACCCCACCCAATCCCCTCTTCCAAGGCAAGTACTGACTCTGCTTCTTGTCGCTGTAGACTATTTATATTTTCTGGAGTTTTATGTAAATAGAATTGTAGCATCCGTCGTCATTTTCTGCTTGCCTTCCTCCACTCATCATAGTTATTTGGAGGCTCTTCTCTGATGTTGTACATAGAAATACTTTTTTCCTTGTTCTGGCCAAGTAGTATTCCATGCGGTGATTGAGTTACAAAGCACTGACTCATTCACTCCTTGAAGGACATTTGGGCTGTTTCCTGTCTGGGGCTGTTACAGATACAGCTGCCGTGAATATGTGTGTGCAAGTCTGTGCATGGACATATTCTTCCTTTTCTCTTGGGTGAAATGGCTGGATCTCAAGGTAAGTGTATTTTAGCGCCCTAAATAAGTGCCAAACAGTTTTCCAAAGTGGTTGCACGACTTCACATTCCCACCAGCCGTGGGTGAGAATTGCAGTTCTTCAGCCTCCTCAACCTTGGTGTTGTCAGTCTTCATAACTTTAGCCATTCGACTAGGTGTGTCATGGTAGCTCGCTTTGGTTTTAATCTATATTTCCCTAGTGACTAATGATGTTGAGAATCTATTCATGTGGTTATTTGGCATTTATTATGTCTTCTTTGCTAAAATGTAAAGAGATTTTTTTTTCTCCTATGCTTTCTTCTAGATGTTCTGTAGTTTCAGGTTTTATATTTGGTTCCACAATTTATCTCGAATTAGCATTTGTGCATGGGGCAAACTATGGATTGAAGTTTTTCTCCATATGAATGTCCAATGATTCCACTATTATGTATTAAAAACATCATCCTTTCCTCCATTGAATTGTCCCTGCAGTCTTACCAAAAATCAGTTGTCATGTGTATGTGAGTCTATTTCTGGGTTTGATATTCTGTTTCTTGGATCTCTTGGCCTGTCTTGATGCCAAACCTACCACAGCTATTACAGTGATTGTTATGGCTTCCTAGTAAGTCTTGAAACCAGTTAATCTTCCTGTCCTTTGTCCTTCTTTTTCAAAGTTGTATTGGCTCTTCTAGGCCCCTTAAGTTTCTATATGAATTTTAGAATTAGTGTGTGAATTTTTAAGAAAAAAAGAAAATGCCTGCTGGGATTTTGATTGGGATTGAACTGAATCTATAAGTCAGTTTGAGGGACTGATATGCCAATCTCACCTCGAATTATAATCCCCATGTGTCAAGGGCAGGGCCAGGTAGAGGTAATTGGACCATGGGGGTGGTTTTCCCCATGCTGTTCTCATGATAATGGGTGAGTCTCACGCGATCTGATGGTTTTATAAGTGTCTGGTATTTCCCCGCTTGCACTCATTCTATCTCCTGCCACCATGTGAAGAGGTGTCTTCCGTCATGATTTTAAGTTTCCTGAGGCCTCCCCAGCCATGTGGAACTGTGAGTCAACTAAACCTCTTTCCTTTATAAATTACTCCGTCTTGGGTATTTCTTCATAGCAGCGTGAGAACGGACTAATACAGCACTCATTGACATCTTAACAATACTGGGCCTTCTGACTCATAAACAAGGTATTTCTCTCCATTTATTTAGAACTTCTTTAATTTCATCAATGGTTTATGGTTTTCAGTGTATGGATTTTGCACATCTTTTCTTAGATTTATGCCAATGTCATTCATATTTCAATGCTTCTTAAAATGGTATTTTTCTTTCAATTTCTGATTGATCGTTGCTAGCGCATAGAAATAAAATAGATTTTTTGTACATTGATCTTGTGTCCTGCAGCCTTGCTAAATCCATTCACTAGTTCTAGTAGATTTTGTGTCAATTCCGTCAGATTTTCTGTATAAATGATAATATTAACAAAGGCAATTTTCTTTTACAATAAATACAGCCCCAAAGTGCCCGGGGCTGTATTTATTCTAGGTCTGATTGTTCCTGCTACTAAGGCAAGACTCTGCATGCTCTACCCAGTGCCCCATGAATAGTAAAGAGTTCCTGTTCCAGTCCAACTAGTGAGGACTGAGCTACTCCTGGCCCTGTGAGGGTGCCGAGTGCTGTGTCCTTCATCCCTCCAGGGGGTTCTCACCTCAGCCTTGGGTGGTTTCCTCCAAAGCTTGTGCTGATCGGTACTCAGCTGAGTGCTCAGTGGGACCCTCTGAGTATCTGTAGAGCTCTTTCTCTGTCCAGCTGTCTTCTCCCCATTGCTCTGTCTTATAACTCCAGCCACCTTGGCTCCCCACCTCTCAGCTCTGTCTCCTCAACTCAGGGACTACACCAGGCTTGACCTGGGGTCCCTGCACCATGGCCTGAAAACTTCCTCAAGACAGTCAGCTGGAACGACCATGCAGCTCCTATATGACCATCAATGGGGGATCACTGCCCTATCTTGTCCAGTGTCTCGGAAACTAGTCTTCAGCTTGTTGTTATTGTTCTAGGAGGCAGACACATCAGTCCCCATTTCTCCATCTTGACCAGAAGCAGAACTGTTTTCTTCTTTACACCAAATCTGTCTCTGCAGTAACTGCCCAGCTGCTGGAACAAACCCAGGCACATACACGGGCTGGGCCTGGCCCTTGTC